GCAAACCTGGAGCAAGTGACTGGAAGCACCCCCAGGGTCTCCAGTAGCTCTGCTTTAGTGCAGGGAAGGGGCAGGAATGTGGTTTTCCTTCCGAGGCAGCGAAAGCTGTGTGAGGTGTTGCTTCCTCCACCCACACCTTGGTCTGCGAGTTGCCTTTTTTTTTTTCTGGGTTTGAGCCTTTTAATGTTTGCAGACTTGCAGACCTTGCCTGATCTTTGATTACTCTGGTGCAGGGACCTCGTGGCTTTGCTCTGTGTCCTGATAAGCATCTTCAAAACCTGCTTTGAAACCCCGTTTCCTCTTTGCTTCTTAACCAGAGCCCGTATCTGCAACTCATTCTGTGAAAAGATTGGGTTCTTTTGATAAAAGTAAATTCACCTTTCAAGAGGGGCGAAGCTAAAACCGCTCCGATGCTGCTTTGTTACATTTGGGATTAGAAACTTAAAGGGGGAAATGCAAAAATACTCTCTGAGCGTATTTTAGGCTCTGAAATCAGTAGTTTGTTGTCTGCCTGAAGATCCGAGGGGACCTTTGGCAGCTGCTGGGCTGTTCAGCCCCGTTATTCGAAAGTTGTGGGTCCCTGGAGGGTGGCAGTGGTGGGTTCAAAGTGAAAGCAGGTTCCTGAGGCTGCACAGTGAAGTGGTTTTAACACCAGCTCACTCTGATAATTCAGAATAAACCCCCCTTTTGTTGTTTTTATTTGAAGTGGCGCCTGTAAGAGGTTTGTGAGGCAGAACATCCCTCCATGGGTGGCAGGGATATCTGACATCCAGTAAGGTGGGGGAAGGTGAAGCTTCCTTTTCCTGGATTTTGTGCTTTCCTGGCTCTCCAGCGGCAACATCCCAAGAGCCTTCCTGATTTCCTCCTGCTGGAGGTGCTTGATGTCACCTTGGAAATAATCAGGGATCGTTTCCTACTGACAGGGGGATTTCTCTGAGCTCCTGAACAATTCCCTGAACTTAGGGAAAGGATTCTGTGAATCCCAGGTGTTTTATACCCCGCTGCCTGGGGAACCCAAGCTTACACCCTCCAGGGAATTCTCACATTCCAGGACTGGAGATCCTGTTTTCTTCATATTTAGCTGCTCAGTCCATCCATTTCTGTTGGGTCCTTCTCTGCCCTCTAATCCTGGGCTGTCTCTGTCCTTAATTCTCCTTTCCTGTCCCCTCTGGTCATGGATTTAGCCCCAGGAATTCCGTTTGCTGGGGGCTTCCAGTGTGTTTCCAGTTCCATCTGCGCAGCCGAAAATCTTGGCTTGCTGTTGCAACCCTGTGCTCCCAAAATGTTAATTGTCCTGGTGAAAAAGAGATGCGAGAGATTGATTACTTGTATTCAGGAGGGGATCACGTGGCTTTCCTTTTCTTTTTTTTTTTTTTTTGCAAGAGGAAGTAACAGTGTCCTGGTCAAATTCCAACTTGGAATAACTGTGAGGGAAAAGTGGATGGGCAAATGGAATATTGTTTGGCTTCTGCTCTGAGGATTAAATAGCTGGGGGAAGGGAGAATGAGACAAAGGAGTGGTTGCCTTAAATCAAGGGGCTGTGTGAGGGATGTGTGAGGTGGAAGCGAGCAGGGGACGGGAGTTCTTGGTTTGATTTGGTGCTGCCAGTCGGAAATGCCTCCACTGAAATCCTTCATCCCTGTCTCCATTAGTGTGGCTCTGTGTGAAATGTCCCCTGGCTGAGGATGGGCTCCCTTTGGGAGACACAGGAGAAGCAGAGGTGTTTTTGGGTAGGGATGTGGGAGCAGAGCAGCGTTTTGGGGCCATCAGTGCTCGCCAAAGTCCAGGAGAGGCGCAGATCGGCATCATCTGTGGAGCTGATCTTCGGTGGATGGGGAATATTTATTGCCTTGATTTCCATACCTCAGGAATCTTCTACCCCACAAAAGGTGTTTGCAACTCCCTGTGGTTTTCCCTGAGACACCCCACCCTCAGCAGCCCAGAGATGACAAACCTTGTGCTTCCCTCCAGCTGTGCAAACCCAGAAGAATTTGCTGCGATTTTAGTGATTTGGGGTTTGGTTTTTTTTTTAATTGACTTTGTTTTCTGTGTTGTCTCTTCTAGATAAAATGTTCAAGGGTTCGTTGGCACCTTTCTCCAGAAGAATAACCCCAGCTCTGCTCTTGCCATAACCCTGGAATTCTGTGGCCTCCACTCAACACCAGCAGGGAGCCCCCGTTTCGTCCGCCCCGTGTCGATGGAACAGGCGCCGGGCTGGAGGACCCCCCTGATCTCGAGCTGCTGCTGCCTTGGTTTTTCTGGGACTGAAGGTGCTCCATGAACCAGGGCCCCCCAAATGAGTCAAACAGCCAATTCTTGCCAGCAGCTGGTTGAGAACTGCCCGGCGCCCGTGGCGGGGATGGCACAGGAGGACGGTCGCCGCGGGCAAGTGCCACCCACCTTCTACCACGGGGCCAGCCAGGAGCTCGACCTGTCCACCAAGGTGTACAAGAGGGAGTCAGGGAGCCCTTACTCCGTGCTGGTGGACAGCAAAATGAGCAAAGCCCACCTCCACGAGAGAGAGGAGCAGCCTTATTTCAGGGAAAACAGAGCGGTAGGAGAGGTCCGGGCTGTGAAAGAAGACAGAGAGAACTCTGACGACTCTGAGGAGGAAGAGGAGGAGGAAGATGAAGTGACTTACAAAAGGGAGCAGATTATAGTAGAGGTAAACCTTAACAACCAAACCTTAAATGTATCAAAAGGGGAGAAGGGTGTCCCCTCCCAGTCCAAAGAGACTGCTGTTCTTAAGACCAGCAGTGAGGAAGAGGAGGGTGACAGTGGGGAAGAGGCCACTGAAGACAGTAATGATTATGAGGAAAATGAGAGGCAGAAGAAAAAAGAGAAAAGAGTGGAAAAAGTTAGTGTTGCACAAAGGAGAACGAGGAGAGCTGCCTCTGCTGCAGCAGCCACCACTTCCCCACCACCCAGAACTACACGGGGTCGTAGAAAGAGTGTGGAGCCCCCCAAGCGTAAGAAGAAAACTGCAAAGGAGCCCAAGGCACCTGTGCAGAAATCAAAGTGTGAAGAGAAGGAGACTTTAACCTGTGAGAAGTGCCCCAGGGTGTTTAACACACGCTGGTACCTGGAGAAGCACATGAACGTCACTCACAGGCGAATGCAGATCTGCGACAAATGTGGGAAGAAATTTGTTCTAGAAAGTGAGCTGTCCCTTCACCAGCAAACTGACTGTGAAAAAAATATCCAGGTAGGTTTGCTCACCTGCTTGCCAGATTTCCACACCTTCTGTCGTGCCCTGGATACCGTAGTGGACACTTCAGAGGGGGAAATCTTTTGCACAGCTCAGGTTCTGGCCGAGGCCCCGTCTCCGCGTGGCATCACTTCGGTGTCTTCCAGAACTGCAGGGAGAGGAGCGTTCAGCTGCTCTGGCAGACACTCTGGGAGTAAACTACGAGTTGGGGAGCACGCAGAGCTACTCTCACAGTGTCAGACTGGGCTGAGAACAGTTTGCAGTGCAGCTCTTGGACGGGAGGAGCCCCCTCCTTGGGGTGCTGAGCACGGCGGCTCTCGCTGGTGTTCCTGTGCCCTGAGCCTCAGTCAGAGTGTCCCCAGGTGAGGGGGTCACTGCAGGACTTGGCTGGTGCTGGAAGCAGAAATTTGGGCCATCCCAGAGAGGCAAGCAGGTGAGAAAGACACCAGTGTGGAGTCAGGATTTGAACGTGGGTTACAATCCCAGTTATAATCCCAGTTATCCTACTGGGATAGTGATCCCCAGGTAATTCACAGTAAGTGCTCCCAATGTGGCTGTAAAAGTGTTATGAATTCAGTGCCTAAATGGTGAGCCTGCCCTTTTCCCAGTGCCAAAAGCCCAGTAAATCTCCCTGATGATACAAAAATCCCTGCTCTTTCTCACCAGCAGATTTGCAGCTTTCCTTTCTCGCCCAACAATGGGAGGCTGTGTCGTAACAGAACCATTTCAGAGCTCGGGGTTGTGGAAAGAGCCCCAGAGTCCGTGATTCATCTGTGGTTTGGGCTTTGCTCGTGGGCATCTCTGTTCCCATGGAACTGGGGGCACGGGTGGTTTATCTGGCAGCTCAGACGAGCTCTCCTCGCCTGTTTAACCAGCTCAGTGTTGCCACCTCGCTGTGCAGTGACCCCACTGCCAGCGCTGAGCAGCTCCAGCTCAGCCTGTTGGCAGCTGAAATGTCTGGGGCTTTGCAGAGCAACAAGTTTTCTGTCTGTCCAGCGAGGATTTTACCAGGATGATTTAATGGGGTTTTGTTTGTTTGTTTGTTTGTTTGCTTAAATGCTGAAGTGAATTGGGATTCGGTCCCCACTGCCTGGCAGACATGAAATATTTCTTGCAGCTTCTCTTTTCCAAGCCTGAAATGCAGCTCTGTGTGACTCTGTGCTGTTCTTCCTTATGTTCCAGCTCATAGGAGGAAGGCTGGAGGAAGGAGTGTAATGACAGATAATGAATCTTGAGCCTAGTTAGTAAAATACATAAACATTTCAGTGTGTCCCTGCAGCTCTTGAAAGAAATACTTCAAAAGTTCAGTGCAGCAGAGAACATTGAAATGTAAATTTAAGGAATGGCCCAGCATCCAGGTGGCTCTTTCACAGCATAAAATCTTTTCCCTTTAAACAGGAGTCCATGAATAGTGTGAACACATGGTATAGAATAAAGAAGTGTGTGCTTCTGAGGGGATAAATTCCTGTGTCCAAATAGTGGGGAGGAAAAGAAGAAAAAATGGTGCAAATTATGTTTAATATCCAGAAGAATCAGGTCCAGAAACTCCCCCAGGTATTTCCAGTGTGCTGCAAGTCATCTTCAAATTCTCCATATCTGAGCATATGTCCAACAATTATTTCTCTGTCCTGACCTTTGGAATGTGTTTTACAGCTTCCTGCTGATGTGTTTTTATTCCACCTGGCAAAAGGAGCAAAGAGGGGGGTGAAAATTGTGCTTCAGGGTCGAATATGACAAGGGGGATGTGAGCTTTGTGTAGGAGAAGGAATGGTCCAACACATAGGTGGTGATTGAACTGGTAAAGCACAGTTGGCTCCTCTCTGGTTTTCGTCTCAGTGATGGGATGTATCTGTTTCTCCAGGGGATTTCTGATTTTCCTCCTCTCAGGATCAGCAGTTTCTGCTGTCACCTCAAGCTCTGTGTGGTTGCTCTCAGTGTCAGTGTTCTGGTCAGCACTTAAGCTGTAGACTGGGCTCTTCAAGGCCTGGTTTAACTTTATACCAAGGAGTTATGATCATTTCACAGCATTGCTTTGCTCTTTAGGCTTTTTCCCCCCCAGGGGCTGCAGTTTGTTCCCCACGTGCCTCCAAGGAGGTGTTTTGGAGGCAGAGCCTTTCCTCAGGGAAGGGACCAGAATTCCCGAGCCTGCAGAGATTCAAACACTGTGGAAGCAGCAAAACTTGTCTGTGCTGAGAAGAAACGACCCAGCTTGGCAGAACTGATAAATCCTTGCCAGCTGAACAGCACCCAGCCCTTCTCACTGGGAGGGAAGGGGGTAATGGAGAGCCAGAAAATGGGGATGCCCCAAACACCCCAACAACCGCCAAAAACAAGCCCCAGTTCCTTCCTCTTCACTGCAGAGACCAAAATGTCTTGGTTTCCTCACGTGTCTGCCGTCAAGTTTTACAGCTGTTCCGGAATGTGCAAAACTCTACAAGGATTTTTTGGTCAAGCCTTTAGGAAGAACTAACTTGGGAAAAGAAAGAGATGTTGGAAAGCCTGTGTGTCCTGCTCATCGCTGATTTTAGGGACGTTTCCCAGGAGTTGTGGGAAGGAATTCACACGTGTCCTGCGTGTTGTCATTTTTGAGACCTGCAGAGCTGCTGAGACCTTTAATAAATGAGGAACCAGAACACAAAAGATGGAGGTGACACCTTGCTTTGCCCTCTGAATCCCAGAATCCACATCAAGAGCTGCGGGATGGGAGCTGCTTTCCCTGGACAACCAGAAGGATCAGAGAGTTTTGACTGATTAAACCTGGAATCTGGGGGAGGGGGGGTCACAGTGCTGCTTCCAAAGGGCTGGATGTGCACATGGATCTAAGGCAACGTGGTGGGATTGGTCTCTTCCAGCTCTGTTGGAATCTCCCCTCACCCAGGGTTGGCATTGTCCCCACACCAGCAGCAGCAGTGCCTGTGAAGTCGTCTCTGTTGTAGCTCCTGTGTTGAGTTTTGGAATTATTAAGTTCAGGTGGCACCAAAGTGCTTGTTTTAACATCCTCTCTCCTCCTGCTTGATCTGGCTTTTCTTAGAGTAGTTGTTTCAGGTGTTAACCCAAAACCAAATGTGCAGTCTGAGGCAGCATTTTGACTTGTTTGGGGCTCCTTTCTGTGGCCCAACTCCACCGGCTGGAATTGCTGACCCTCCCTAATCCCTCCTTCCTTCTTTGTCCCACCCCAGTGCGTTTCCTGTAACAAATCCTTCAAGAAGCTCTGGTCCCTCCATGAACATATCAAGATTGTCCATGGATATGCAGAGAAGAAATTCTCCTGTGAGATTTGTGAGAAGAAGTTCTACACCATGGCCCACGTGCGGAAACACATGGTTGGTGAGTTGTTGGGGGAGCCTTCTGTTGGTCCTGGGAGGTCTCCGTGTGGTTCTTGGCTCGTATTGGCTGTTCTGGAAAGGAAAATAATAAGGCAAAAGAAAAATAATAAGGCTGGGAGGGGTTTCCCTGGAGAAGAGAAGGCTCCAGGGAGATCTGAGAGCCCCTTCCAGGGCCGAAAGGGGCTCCAGGAGAGCTGGAGAGGGTCTGGGGACAAGGCATGGAGGGACAGGGCACAGGGAATGGCTTCCCACTGCCAGAGGGCAGGATTAGGTGGGAGACTGGGGAGAAATCCTTCCCTGGGAGGGTGGGGAGGGGCTGGACTGGATTTCCCAGAGGAGCTGTGGCTGCCCCGACCCTGGGAGTGTCCAAGGCCAGGTTGAAGCAACCTGGGACAGTGGGAGGTGTCCCTGCCCATGGCATGGGGGGTGGAACTGGGTGAGTTTTAAGGTACTTCCACCCCAAAGCACTCTGTGATTCCATGAAAATAAGACAAGTGGAGTTGCCTGAGCTTTCTCCTCGGCACAGAGATCAAACCTGGGCAGCAGGAAAGGTCTGACTGTTAGCACAGACCTGTTTGTGAGCTGTCAGCAGGAACCGCCTTCCTGCTCACAACGGGAGGGAAGCCTTGGTTCAGGAGCTGTTTGCCTTTCCCTGACCCCCTGTGACAGCCTGTTGTGTTGCAGCACACACCAAGGACATGCCATTCACCTGTGAAACCTGTGGGAAGTCCTTCAAGCGCAGCATGTCCCTCAAGGTGCATTCCCTGCAGCACTCGGGAGAGAAGCCCTTCCGCTGTGAGGTGAGGCTGCAGCTCCTCAGCCGAGCAGATTCCATGGCCTGGCAGTGCCAGGAGGGGTGGAGGTGCCAGCTGGGGTCACATTCCAGTCCCCTCAACCCTCCCTGTCTTACCCGGTAACTGGGAACAGATAGAAGTGGCCCCGGTGAAAAGAATCCAGTTACTGCCTGGTCCTCACGTGTGGGGTCAATGGTTGTGCTCCAAACTGCTCCTCCCTGAGATCTGAGCCAGTGCTCTGAACCTGAGGTCATTAATCAGGGTACGAGGGGTGGGATGGGGTGGGATGGGATGATGGGATGGGGTGGGATGATGGGATGGGGTGGGATGGGGGAGGGCATCTCCCTGCTCCGCTCCCAGGAGTCTGGGGTTGTGATTGCACACCTGCCTCGGGAAGGAGATGGCATGGGACAGAATTCCCAGTGATCTGTGTGGAGCAGGGAATGCCTCAGTCACCCGATGGGGATGTTTGTGGGGATCACAGGATGGGGACAGGGGGGATGCAGAGCCCTTCCTGTTCCCACACAGGACGTGGAGCGGGGATGGTGGGAGAACAGCTCGGGGATAAGACTTGTAGGGAAAGAGATTACCTCATAGCAATAAAAACCAGCTGGAAAGCAGGCTGGGAAAGGGCTGTGTGGAGCTGTGCTGGTTTGGTGTGGAGCAGAGTCCTCTAGTGGCTGCAGACCCTGCCTGGGATGCCTTAAGCCACCAGGAGTGATGGAATAACCGTGTCTCTGCCAGGATTTCAGTGTCAGCTGAGGGCTCTGACTCTTCCAAAGCTCCTGTGCCAGCAGACCTTTAAGTACAGACCAAATTCTGCCCAAGAAATGCTCACTAAATAATTTGAATTCTGCAGTTTTGTGTGTCCCAGTCTGGGTGTCCTTCACTCCTTCCCACAGCCCCTGCAGTGCCTCCTGCTCCTGGACCCCACGGGCTGCTGTTCTTTCTCTTGCAGAACTGTGATGAGAGGTTCCAGTACAAGTACCAGCTGCGCTCCCACATGAGCATCCACATTGGGCACAAGCAGTTCATGTGCCAGTGGTGTGGCAAAGACTTCAACATGAAGCAGTACTTCGATGAGCACATGAAAACACACACTGGTAAGCACCTGTCGAAGGAGAACCTTGACAGAACACTTCCCTTCCTTGGAATTTGGAAACTCTAGCTAGAAAATCAGACAGCAAAGGTTGATACATCCCCTTGCAGGGTAAATCTGTAGGGCTGTGGTTCACTGTGGGGAAAGTAAGAGGTTGGAGCTGTTATTTTGGCCTGAAGGAGCCCCTTGCCAAAGCCCTTACCAAAGATTGTTTCAGGCATCAAAATCCAAAGGAGAGGGAGGGATTCCCACGGTCTGAGGCTCCTGTGGAGCGTTTGCAGAAGTGAGGGAGGAATTCCCAAGGCCCGAGGAATTCCCAAAGCCCAGGGAATTCCCAAGGCCTGAGGAGTTCCCAAGGCCCGAGGAATTCCCAAAGCCCAGGGAATTCCCAAGGCCCGAGGAGTTCCCAAGGCCCGAGGAATTCCCGGGGCTCCTGTGCAGCATGGGCGGGGTGCCGGGCATGGTTGGTTTGCCCGAGTGTGTGGTGAGTTCTCAGGGGGGTTCCTGGCCGTGGCTGATGCCGTGGTGAGTTCTCAGGGGGGTTCCTGGCCGTGGCTGATGCCGTGGTGAGTTCTCAGGGGGGTTCCTGGCTGTGGCTGATGCTGTGTGCGTGTGTTGGGCAGGAGAGAAGCCCTTCATCTGCGAGATCTGCGGGAAGAGCTTCACCAGCCGGCCCAACATGAAGCGGCACCGGCGGACGCACACGGGGGAGAAGCCGTACCCGTGCGACGTGTGCGGGCAGCGCTTCCGCTTCTCCAACATGCTCAAGGCGCACAAGGAGAAGTGTTTCCGCGTCACCAGCCCCGTCACCGTGTCCACGGCCGTGCCCATCCTGCTCTCCAGCACCTCCCCGGCCAGCGCCGTGCCCGCCGTGGGGAGCCCCCCGGCCCCCGCCCCGCCCGTGCCCCTCAACCCCGTGGGCGCCGTCCCCGCCCGCCCCATCCCGCACCCCTACTCGCACCTGCACCTGCACCCCCACGCACACCCCCACCACCTGCCGGTGCCCCCCGTGCCCCACCTGCCCCCGCCCCCCGCCCTCTTCAAGAGCGAGCCTTTGAACCACCGAGGGCAGAGCGAGGAGAACTTTCTGCGGCACCTGGCCGAGAAGAACAGCTCGGCACAGCACCACTGACAGCGCCTGCCCTCCCTCCCTCCCCTCCGAGGCACCGCCCGCAGCCTGGTGAGGATCTGTCCCAGCTCCCCAGTGCCCCTGGAATCACTTCACACGGAGAAACAACCACCCCGTTCTGTGTCGGTGCCCGTTCCAACCCGGGAACCAGCAGGACCTGAAGAACCCCCACTTTGCTCGTGGTTTCCCCCCTCCCTCCCCGGTGACTTTTATAAATTTCAGACACTGAGACTCATGGAATTTTATAATTTCATATCAGCTGATGAGGTATGCTTGCTTTTATATCCTGGACTTCTCCTCAAAGAGGAGACAGGCCTGGTTTTCTTTGTACTAATCGGAAAGGCTGTGAGATTAATACAGAGCATTAATTGTATCACTGTGTATGTAACGGATTCCTTTCAGCTTCTGGTATCACAGTATATTGGAGCATTATAAAGAAAGGCAAAAAAAAAAAAACAAAAACAAACAACCTTCTTGTTTTGTGTAGCTCTCCTAACACACTCTTTATTTTACTACAGAAATTATTTTAGAGTTTTTTGTATAGACCTATTTAGTAGTCTGTTTCTAAAACGAAAATTGTATTTCAATAAGCGGTGTAATTTTTTCAGTGTAGCTGGACCTATGTTGTATAATAGATAAATTTTTATAATCATCAAAAAAATGTGATTCTTAAAAAAAAAAGATGCTTATAGCTTCTAATAGTTAAAGTTATTCTTTACAACCACACGACTTAAAGGTGCTTCAGAGAAGAAAGGAAACCAAGAGGTCTCTGGAAAAGTTGCCTCAAAAAACGATGTTTGATTTCAGAACTTTACGTAATTTATTTTAATAGGGCTTTTTTTTGTTGTTGTCGTTGTTGGGGTTTTTTTTTTTAACCTTATTTCCCTTCTCACAGTTTCTCTTAAGCTACTGGGATGAGGATGTTGGGATACAACATTCCCGCTCCACAGGTTTTCTTTAGCTCAGTTGGAGTGAGGTGTACGAGGTGGGTTGGAAAGGGGGATCCTGACATGTAGGGACCTGCTAATTTGGGAATAGGAAGTCAAAAAAATGAGGGATCTGACAGCAGAGAGGAAGTGAAGCCTCTCAGGTCGGCCAGGAACCCTTTGCTGTGGGAGAGCCGGATTTAGTGGCTTTCCATGGTTCTGATTAAAGTTGGGGATCACATCAAATGCTGCTCTTCAGACAGGCTTGTGGAATTCCTGGAGCTGCCAGGAGAGGGAGTGAAGTGGGATCACAGACCTGGTTGGCTGGGAGAGGGAGAAGTTCAGGTGAGAGGATGGTGTTCCACCCCAGCTCCCTCCATCCCTGCTCCTGCAGAAGAGCTGGGATGATCCCTGAGGGTCAGGGGCACGTGTTTGGCAGATCTGGAGTGCAGGGTTGGAGCTGAGGGGCTGTTTGACAGTCCTGGAGGAGCTCAGAGCAGGGCTGGGGTGTCAGCCGTGGCTGTTGTGCCCAGGGAGCAGCTGCTGCCCGGGCAGGTTGGTGTTTCCCCCCAGCCAGGACTCAGAGGAGCTCCTGGTGCAGTCCAGGAACTGGAGACACAGCCCCAAGCACTGCACTCTAAGTCCTCTTTTCCTTCAAATTCCCCCTCTTTGTGCTGCTTTCCCCACTCAGTCCCACCCAGCCCCACAGCCAGAGACCCTCTCGGGCAGAGGTGGAGTGATAACCTGGGGGTTGTGCCTGATGGGGTCCTTTTCCAGGATAGCAGGAACGTGGAGTTCTCCCCCAGGGACCCAATCCTCTGCTGAAGAAACAGCTCCTCACTCGATGGGGGCTTTCACCATTTTCTACCACTCACGTTGGGTTTTCCATGACGTAGGAAACCTCAGGAACCGGGAAGGGCAGTTTTGGCCCAACCAACTCATTTTGGACTGAGCTGAAACCCCTCCCAGCATTTCTGAAAGAAAAAATAATAAAAAACCAATGTTTTTTAAATGTCTTCTCTATGATATTTATACCCAGCCCCTCTTCCCCTCTGGAAGAAAAGAAGCCAATTATGAGAGTGAGTTTTGAATTTCCACTGCTGATTTAAACTGTTGTGTTTCCTGTGCCTGGTCCACCCTGGGGGGGTTCTGTGCATTCCACGTCACATTTGCAACCTTCATTTCTGTTGTGCCACTATTTTATGGTCAGGCCTGTTATTAAATGATTTTTAAATGCTTAAAGAAACAAAACCAACCAACAAACAAACAAAATCTTGGTAAATCAATTGTATTCCAGTTTTGCAAAATGATTTTCTTCTCAATAAATTTACAGTATTAGGCTGCTATTCAGAATTCTAAAAGCTGGGACAGTTTTTTTGTCTGTTCTTTAGTCCATGGTCGTGATATAACTTGTGGTTTTTTCTTTTCCTTCTGAGAATGATGAACTTCCTTTCTGTGGAAGAAGATTAAATTATCCAGCCCCTCTTCCCAGTCTGGCACAGTGTGACATGATGGCAGCAGCTTCTCCTGGTGCTCTGGGACACCCATAAAGGCTGGGATTGTGCCATGTGGGCTCTCCTGAAGGACTTACTTGAGCAAGGAAAGGAAAATGGGTGTTGGAAAAGGCAGGGAATTCAAGGCTGGGATTTGCTGGGAATTTAATTCCTAAATTTGCATCATCACACACCTTCCCCAGAGCTTGGGCACCGCCAAGGAATGTGTTCAGGAATGTGCTTCCTCCTTCCTGCCCGGGGTTGACAAACCAAACGTGATGTTTGGGGTCAGCTCTGCGTGGTTTGGTAACTTCCAGCGTTGGTTCTTGTTGCTAAAATGCTGCTTTGGAGGAGAGCAAAGAGAAACCCCACCAGTTTTGGGGTTGGGTTGGATGTTTTGGGAAGAGGGTCTGAATTTCCCCCCCTGGTTTTTTCAGTCCCTAAAAATCGTCCTGCAAGGCAAAGTTTGACTGAATTTTTAACATGGAATTTTAAACATTGAATTTTAAAGGAGGGGAATTGAACAGGAATGAACAGCCACTCAGGAGTTCAGCATTCCAAGATGAGCAGCTTTTCCAGAGCGTTTTGTCCCGCCAGTCCTTCGTAAGGACATCAGGTTGTGGCTGAAGGTGTGGGGATTGTCACACCAGGATTATTGACCCTCCTCTCAGGTACTTCTTAGATGCCCAAATTCACCTCTGGCCCCATCAAACCTCCTGCTCCCACCTCGTATTCCCAACCAAATCCTTAACTGGGATCCTTAAAGCTGAATTTGGACTAAATTCTGGTTTTTCCTTCCCTAAAAGTCATCCCACAGACTAAGGCCGAGTTCCTTGAACCCGAGCAGCAGTAACACGATTCCTTTGATGATTTTGGTCTTGTTTGGGCACCCAGTAGGAATTTCCAAGGATCCCAACCCTGCTCAGTGGAGGATCTCTCCGAGAATCCACATCTCACTTCTCCTGAACTGAGTGTCCAGTTTTCCACAGGATCAGTGGAGCCTTTTGAGCTGATTTTTCACCAGTTACGGACTCTCGGTGTGAAGGTTAGTGGGGAATTGGCCCTTCCCTTTCCTGAACACTGGGATTGATGGATTTTCCTGAACTAAGGCACTTTTTTGGGGATAAGAGGCGTTGAGGGCCCCATGGACAGGTAGAGGAACAGGAATAAGTCCTGTCAGTCAAATGTGGGCAGCAGGGAAGGTTCTGAACCCGGGTTTTGCTCCACTGAAAACTCAGTGTAACCTGTTCCTTTTCCCACAGGAAAAATGGCCTTGTTTGTTAAAAGAAGGGGGAAGGGTGGGTGATGGGGGGAGCTCAGATTTTCCCACTTTCTGTTTTTTTTTTAATTCATTTCTCCTGAGAGCTGGTACAGCCAGAAATCCAAGGAATTAACAGAGGGACACCCCGAGCAGCCAAAGTGGTGACAACCCCCAGTGACACCGACCTGGAAAACCGGTGAGGAGCTGAAATTGCTGCTTTTGTGGGACCTTCTGCTTGTCTGGCCTGAACAAAAGTGTGTTTTGCTTCTGTTTCCAGCCTCGGTGTTGCAATTTTATCTGCAGATTGTCTGGGAAGAGCAGTCCAGGGGCAGCTGCGGGTGGGAGGTCACTTTGTCCTCCTCAGTTGTCCTGCAGGTTCCAGGGGAAGTTGGGAGTTAAAAGCTCTGGGATGTGCCGTGTTTGTGCCTTGCAGAACAATCCCAGGGCTGGGCACTGGCACAGCTCAGGGCTTGCAAAACCAAAGGCTGAGACAACAGATTGCAAAACCCTTCCCAAGTTTTGGCTTTTCAGAAGGAAAAGCTCAATTCAAAGGAGCCTTTTCCCCAAGCGACCCCAAGCAGGGCCATGAATTGAAGTGTTTGTGGACTTTCCCTATAAAAAAACAACAGTGGAATGTTTTCATCTCCCTTTCTAAACCTCTCCTGCAGCCTGGGAGAATTATTTAATGCCTTAATTACCAGGTAAACAGCTGGGATAGAACAGGAAATTCATCAGAAGAGGGCTGTTGTGAAGGAGAACTCGCTATTTAAAGGTTGTCCAGTGGTGGTTCCTTGAGCTGCCCTGTGATTAAATTCAGTGTATTATGGTCAGATGAGTAAATATCCGTGTTCTGCAGACGTGGAGCTGAGAGCCCTGCCTGGAATTGTGGAAGGGAGCCCCGGGTTATTCCTGATCCAGGATCATCAGTTCTCTTTTCACTTCTTTTCACATTTTCTGCCCAATTTCCTCCCTGAGGTTTTTCCATCAGTGGATGGCAAATATTCCAGTAAAGGAGATAAGGATCAGGCACCTCTTTGTGGTTCACCTGAAGCTACAAAAAGCAGGGAATGCCACAAATATCACTTGGGAAATCTTCCCTCCTGTCCCGGTGCGTTCCCAGCAGTTTCGGCCGCGCAGGGAACAGCGTGCACAGAGTTTCCCTGGAGATACCCTGGAATATTGAGACATAAAATTAGTTCAGCCTGCAAAAGGACTCCTTCCCAAGGCAGCCCAGGCAGGGAGGGATCAGATATCTCCTAAGCCTTGGGTGTCATTAATAGTCCAAAGGTCTCCCAACACTCCCAACCTGGATCTTGTGTAACT